AAACACTCTGATAAGTTAGTCCAAGAATTGTCAGCAAAATTCTTAACCAAGCAGAAGAACATCAGTTTAAGTATTATAAAATGTTTTTCCCCTACAAATGATTCAGAATAGACCAAAAATGAAAAGTTCTATTCCACGCTACAAGAACCTACTGATGAACAAAGAGAGAAATAAASATATCACCATTCTCATGGAGGACTAAGATAATGGTAATTGAGCTGAGTGGAATGCAATTTGGTCTGAAATCAAACGCGTAATCACGCGCGTAGCGGGATTGCRATTTGTAAATGCAAGTCATCCAGACCAAAATGGAACGAAATTAAGTTCAATTATCACTTTAATATATTCATTTTGTACAWAAAAACTATGAAAAAAGCCTTTGATATTGTAGATCAAGAGTCTTTATTGGAAMGAATACATTTCTATGCGATTCTAGAGAAGGTTATCAACTTGATTAAGTTTAGCTTTTCTTTTTTATTATGTTCAGCTATAAAGGTATGAAGTGCAGAGTGGCTTGAAGGGCAATTTTCAGAACCTTTCGAAGTAAAAACTGGTGTGAGATAAGGTTGTTTGAAATCTCCTTTCCTCTTTCTACTGGCTATTGACATAGAACTGTAAAAAGTCGGAGCAAGAACGGGATACAGTGGAATCCTCAGTGTAAACGAAATAGGCAGACCAAAGAATAGCCTGTGAAGAAATCTAGAAAAGGAAATCGGGGAGGCAGGATTGGATTGGACTGACATRGGGAGGATGGCCCAGAACCGGGTACGATAAGGAAGCTGATCGATGGCCTATGCTCAGCAGGGCCTAATTAAGTAAGTATAACATATGAATAATAGTCGCCTCAAAAATTGTCTTTCCTTTCACAGCCATATTTGGAAGTACGTGTGGACTGGCTTTTGGCGATTCAAAAAAATGATTTCAAGGCTTGAAATCATTTGAAACACTTCTGAACAACCGGCCATATTGCTTGTTTTTAGCGACTGTGCAATAATTACCAGGAGGAAGGGGGGGGCGTAAAACTAGATTTCTCAAGCTGAAAATTAGTCAGAACCCCCCTCCGAAGCATAAGAAAATAGCTCATTAAAATTTACATCAAATTTACATCATTTTGGACACTTACATAATATTTACATAAAATTTACAACCTTTAAAGCGCGCGATTTTTTCCAGTGTATCTTGGCATCAATTTTATGTAATGCTCCCCCTCCTCTGGTTTTACGCCCCCCTCCCTGTAATTATTGCGCAGTCCCTTATATGTGGAATGGATTCACTAATGGATGCTATATTTTGAATCATGAAAAGATATCATATCTTTCACATGTGAATAATATCATTGTTGCATGGTGGCACTGCATTTTTTCGACCAATTAGATCAATGTTTATATTAAGATCGATAGATCGATATTTATATGATAAATAGAACATTACATATGGCCGCTTGGAACTACTAATTTTATCTTCTCGTGTTCAATTGATATCTCACYCGTTCGCTACGCTCACTCGTGAGATATSGATTGAACACTCGAAGATAAAATTAGTACTTCCGCGCGCCCATGTAATATCCTCTATTTACGACATAACTTCCTTTCATATGTAATTATATGATAAACAGAATTTTACATGGGCGCGCGGAAATACGGATCTTATATCTTCTCGTGTTGAAATTTTCTCACTCGTTCGCTACGTTCACRAATGGGAGATCTTTCAAATACTCGAAGATAAAATCTGCATTTTCGCGCTCTCGTATATTAATATCGTCCATATATCAAAKAAACATCAATATCTTATTTCACTATACTGATACGGTGTGTCTCAGCTTTGCTATTTCTCCAATTTTCCTGCTCGTGATTTGCCAACCATCCGTGTTGATAGTGTCTTTACCAAAGATTTATTAGTAATTTTACATTATTTATATAATAATTTGATGCTAAAAGCTGTAATTTTCCTTTCTACATTGACCGAAAATCATAACTATTGCTGATAAAATTGTGACAAGACCAGAAATTAGTATTGTAGCAAAGGTAGAGTACGTGACCTTTCCACAAACGCTTAGTCCATACGCGATGTCACAGACACTCGTTTGTTGAATTATATATAACTCATCTGGTTTCGGTATACTCTGTAATGTTGTTCACCGTTCATTCTAGTACGTAATATCGTAACTTCCCTTGCGTAAATCTTGAGGTAGACTGGCCTACGCATGTATACGTAATGATTACAAATGTAATTAAATTAGGCATAGAAGGCCATAAATAAACATAAATAGAGCACTGCAATTGTATAAAYGAATAATCAGTTCACTTGTAGCAGTCTTGTTACAAGAATTAAAGCTCCTTCAACGATTCAATACTTTGTGTTTACTAGCCACTTTTTCGGTCCGTTACAGTATTCTTGGTTACCAAGTCACCATATTTGGTATGTCACGCGAGGAATCATGTGTTATCTGAATAATTTTGTAATCTGTTTCGGTCAAGATGTCGYTATGTRCAGTTTGCCGTTTGTTTCTTTTCCTCTAGACCTAACTATATTTTTAGTGTAGTTATTTTCCCCGTCAAATTTATAGTTCCCATTTCATAATTCATTTCTCTACGACTGAAACACTGATTTTTTCATTAAAATAAAAAGTCTATGAAGACGTCGACCTGCCATCCATTTGCGCTGTGATTGGTTAAAAAAGACTGGACTTTGTTCGGGAGTGCCTTGACTCGGTCTAAATTTAAATTCCGTCTGAAGCACCAGGTCATGTTTAGACGCATAATAAGGAAGTTATGGGAACTGTATCGAACACACAACATGGAAGCTCAGAACGATGTATCTACTAGTCACAATTGACAAAAAATCAACGGAGTCGACTTGACAGTCTCCACTACTTGGTCAATTTTTATGCTATTTTCGCATTACTTCTGCGTCTAGCTTCGTTAATACACGACGAGATACGAAAGAGCCATGACATGGTTAGATTGTGTGCGTCAAAGCCTTCTTTTTCGATTGCTTGTTGCCGTAGTAGCCGCTATTGTCATCATATTTACGTACACAAATGGAATACCACTGGATTTTTCACACCCTTTGTTGCCGTTTGTACAGATTCAAAATGTGACTGGAACTACTGAAAAGCCCAAAAACGTCTCAAAGAAAATTCTTTTCTATACATCGTGGTTTAAAACAATTCCATGGCCCCTCAATAGCCCGCTTAAACTGCCATGTCCTCACAAATGCTTGATAACATACAACAAAAGTGAGCTGGCTTTCAGCGACGCAGTTGTTTTCCACGACTCAGACATTAAAGATGACCCTCAATCTTTGAAGCGAATTAGTGAATCCTTGAGAAGAAGASCACAGCAGAGATGGGTATATTACACTCATGAAAATCCACACAATGTTCATAATCCTGCTCCATTTAACGGGATTTTCAATTGGACTGTTACCTACAGGTCAGACTCAGATATACCTCGTCCTTATGGCCATTACAACACTTTGCAACATGGCGAAAGGATTCTTAATGAAAATAATACAATCAACTACGCCAAGGGAAAGGACAAGCTTATCGCTTGGGCAGTAAGCCACTGTGGGACTATTAGAGATAAAGTTGCAAAAAAACTTCATGAGTTTGTTCCTGTCACTGTTATAGGGGCGTGCAGTAATCTTTTCAATCAAGTAAGTCCCGAAGTTTGCAGAAGGGGGTCACCGAATTGTCCATCTTACTTAAAGCGATTCAAGTTCTACCTTGCCTTTGAAAATGGAATGTGTATTGACTACATAACGGAAAAATATTGGATCACGCCCTTTGATAATAACATGGTTCCCATAGTCTTGGGGTCGAATTATGATTCCAAGGTTGCTATTCCCGGCTCATTTATCAATATCCTKGATTTTCCGAATATGAAAGTTTTTTCTGATTACATCAAATACTTGGACAAAAACGACACGGCTTATAATGAATATTTTAGCTGGAAGGCGAAGTTTAAGTTGGATAGGACTGCGGAAGATCGGTGGCTGTGTAGATTATGTGTTGATCTTTTTRATRATTCACTACCAAGGAAGGTTTACACAAACTTTGAAGCGTACTGGGGGGTCAAGAGTAATTGTTATAGAAATAAGGAGAAAATTCAACGTATTTTACAATGACTGATCACCTCTGAGTTAGGAGAGAAATCATAGAAACATGCATATCCAGGTATCATTTTTACAACTAGAAATGACGCTGTATAGTAAATCTGACATCCCTGCAATTCAACAAAATGGCGCATTGTAGTAGTAATATTGTTAAGCCTGCCTAATTGTAATATCAGTGTTGTGCTAGCTCTTCCTGTAATTCAGTGTTTTTCTCAATTTACAATGCGATAGGAATGGAATAAACATATCATTAATTTGTCCATTGATATTGACGATTGCTCTTGGAGTCGAAGATAATCTTACTCACTACAAAGACAGAATAATTCTAATCATAAATTCAAAGTGCCACTTGTCATCTGGTGGCATGTCAAGGCRAGTATAGAATATCGGACATTGAGTGGTAGATTATAACTGTGTTCAAAAACCTGCGACCAAGTAGGAATTGACAAGATCTGAAATCGAAGTTTTATTATATTCAGCCACGAGGTGGTGTTCTAATCTTTTCAGTTCTAACTGCAAACGGATGTAATAAACTTGAATTTATTYATTTTATTTATTTATTTATAATTCCAAAGGATTAATTTAAGTCATGATCAGAGGCGTCCAATAGGTTGTTTCCATGCCAACTCATACGTAATCAACGAATCTTATTGATATAGGATCTCACAGAATTGATATGACAGAGTACTGCACGTGCTCTTGACTGGACTTATGACCTTACATGTCTAATCTTCTCTATTTTCTATCAAGAACCAGACTCAACTATCGATGCCTCTATGAAGGGCTTGCTTTTAAGAGTTTTCTAGGTTTTCTATAATAATAATCATAATAGATCTTTATTTCCATAAGATAAAAACAACATATCCCATGTTACATGAGGAGTATTAACAACAAGAACTTGCTCAATTGTCGCTTTTTTCAAAAGTCAAACAAACAGACCAAATTCACCTACAGACAAAACCAATTGGACATCTGTCTTTTCATAAGATATCAAGACAAGACAAGAGCATTGATAACATTTGAAACTATGAATGNTTTTCAGCGATTTTACTCTGGAACTGGGTATCGATTTTAGCGATTTTACTCTGGAACAGGGTATCGATTTCAACGAATTTTCTCTGGAACAGGGTCAGGGTTGAATTCCGGAATTATTGATGCTGGATAAAAATTCATGGGGTAAAAATTCGGTCTACACGCAAGCTAGTGCTGGATTTTCTCTGGAACAGGATATCGTTTTCAGCGATTTTACTCTGGAACAGGGTATAGTTTTCAGCGATTTCACTCTGGAACAGGATCAGGGTTTTGAGGTCCCAGCGGCACACCCCCACACAGGTTTCGGGGAAGTATCCCCCCCGGGACAATTAGTGAATGTCGAATTACTTTCTTTGCTTCTTTATGTTGCCCGACTGGAATAGCGCCCAGGTTTTGGGATATTATAATTTTTAGGATGCACAGTGGGTCAACTTTTTAAGGGCAGGCCGTATTTAAAGTAATATGGACAGTAGCCTCCTTTGCAGACGTYATTAGTATCGKTCATAAATTCCCTCTCCACTAGTGGACCGATACTAATAACGTCTGCAAAGGAGGCTATATGGACAGTGGTCAACTCAACTATTGTCTCGCTTTGATGCAAAGGCTCGGTTACCTTTTTAGATGGCAAAGCAACTGAAAATACCAGGCCCGTAGGCTGCCTTACAAATAGGGCGGGCCGGGGGGCCGGGGAGGGGGGGGCTAAATTAAATGTTTAACTAAATTATTTCAATGCACAGTATATTGTGTAGAAACTGGCTGCTAGTATGAGCAGTTTCTTGAAATATTACCACTTTACTTTGATGGRTACTCCAAGCAATGGATAAAATTCCCTTTGTCATTTATTTCGGTGCTGAATACATTAAACGTTTACAGCTCCAACCGAAGAAAGATTACAATTAATTTACGTATGTTCTTTCATGTTCATGTAATAATCCGCTTCGCTTTGAAGTTCGCACCAATAAGTTATAGAAAGATTGATATTGTTATTTTAAATTTGAGCTTGAGCTGGGAGCTTCTCTCCTGYTATCCCTGCGATCAGGTTTCTTGATGCTAAAGTCGCCATTTCGACGCGCGTTGCTTCCTCGGCGCTTCCAATGTGAGGAAGAATAACTATGAAAATAACAATTGTACATGAACGATTGCGTCGTAAAATCAAACGTGCACTGAAGCATTGTGGATCAGATCCATCCTCATGCCCAGGTAATTTTCAGTTTCCCGACGGAAAATTGAAKGCGAATAAGTCTTCGATTTGATTGATTCAAATAYTCTCATGTKMCATCRGTATGCATATATCGTACGACAACGATTCTTCCGGTATCGTTTCTAACCAGATCCTTCGATTTTCCGTTGGAAAACTGAACTTATTAARGATTGTCCKATTCTTTTGACTTATAAGGACGCACCGCTCATTTTCAGACCCTCAAACAACGACAAAATTAATGTCGCAAATAGTAAAAATGCGACATTCAAGTTTCCCTTTTTTTTAATCTTCCATTCAGTGCTGCCACGTGTTAGCAACATTGTATTGGGACAGGGGGTGGGGGCTCTAATTTAATAAGATATCAGTTATTGAAGAAGACATTTTTCCATGTAAATCAGGCGACAACACATTCTGTCCGCAATAGTCTCCTTCACGGTTACCTGCGCCATCTTGAAAGGTAGCCCTGCCGTTAMATCGAAGCGAGACGACCGTTGAGCGTGCAATGATAGATACCTGCGAATCATTGTCTGTAAGTGTKATAAAGGTTTCTATCGTTGCACGCTCAACGGTCGTCTCGCTTCGATGCAAAGGCATGGCTGCCTTTCAAGATGACGCAGGGAACCGTGAAGGAGATTATTGTAGACCGAAGAACTCTTTAAGGTCAATTTGTAAAATAACTTTCATATTACGCGCGCTCTGATTGGCCAAAAATCCGTGTTTAATGAGAGCATAATACACGCTCGCGTCATTTTTTTCACGGCTTTTTTTCCTCATGAATATTTGAGCGCTTGTTATTTTATAAAACGAATAAAAAGACACTCGAGAACCTGGAAACCACTCCGCTTCGCGTCGTGGTTTCGTACGCTTCTCTCGTGTCCTCCCCACATCCCGCGTGTTTTTATCAGAGTATAATACACGAAAAACTGTTTTTTATTCCTTCAATCAAAGTAGCTTACCACAGTTTTTAAGCGAGAGCAGTTTATGATCGACTGGTAAAGGTTCAGGAACTGTTACGTCGAGCCCAGCAGCCTAACACAATTAGATATATGAATGAGTTGGGTTGCTTTGCAACGTCACGTGTCCAACACAAGTATTTAAAAAAATATTGATTAATGAATACTGTGRCATTACATAGCGTACAATGAAACCTCGTTTATCCGACCACCAAAGAGACATTGAAAAGCTGCCATGTTAACGGGGTGCTCGTTTTAATTCGTCGTGACAAAAAACTCTGGCGGTTATAACGAAGTGACGGTATTAAGTGGTCGGCTGTAAGGCGTGGTTCCACTGTATTCCAAGAAAGAAATCAGATGTACTTAGATGTCTTTCGACTAAACGTTGGTTACAAAATAAACGACAATTCTAAACTTGTTAGTAGATAAATGGGTAATCGAATGAGGCCTTAATACTGTGTAAGTAAGATTTACTGTGTCCAAGCTTTCGYTTGGACTCAGAAGGCCTCATTCGATTAGCCATTTAATTCTACAATTATGCTAGTAAAGGACAACTTCTGAAGATTGGTAGTAGTTATTCCTACCATCTAGGGTCCACTCTACACTGTCTAAACATGGTCTAAGGCCTACTATTGTTAACCCCTGTTCAATTCACTACATGTATAAGGCAGATAAAAGTAGAAAACATTGAAAACATTTCCACAATAAATATTTTTTTACGCTTGGATGTTTCATGGTGGAAGTACACTTTTACTTCCTGTTTGCMAGAGGTGTAGTGCTCCTGGATAGTAGGTCTATCTTCTTTTTGTTTTGTTTTAAATAACAAATTAGAGTTACCCACATAACCAAGTGCACCCAACGTCATGTAAACAAAGTCTAAAGGCCTGTTTACGCTTGGAACTTTATTGCGAGACATAGTAGCACTTTTAAGGGCGATTTCATTGCACGTATAAACACTTTAGTCTGCAAATTCGTGCTGATTTCAAATGGAAAATCCCGGCAATCTAAACTAAAATTTCGAGAATTTGCTAAGATAAACTTGCGAGAAGTCGCCGTAAAATCTTTGTAAATTTGCAGGCTATTTATTATAAGCGAAATTTGTTTGCGATAAAATTACAGGGCAAAAATCGCTGCTCTTGTCGAAGGAAAGACTTAACGCCATGTTTATATTAGGTAGGGTGCCATTGGATAGTAAGACTTTCTCTTGTTTTTCTTAGCTAAAATGTGCAACGCGAAAATTCTTACACAATAAAAATCATTTACCTTGATTTGTCCGGATAYTAGGGCATCATACAGATCATCTTGATTCACAAGACCCCCCCTGAAAAGTGAGARGATATAATTTCATTGTTTCATTTTGCCTTTCAGCGGGCACAAAGAGGCAGCAGAATCAATAAATGTGGAYGGAAAGACAGATATTTMAAGAGTAAAAGAGTAACTTAAGGTGAATTTCTTAGCTCCTCCATATCCCCTTCCTGAATGTGAATTAAAGGGCGGATCTCATGCTTTTACTAAACACCCTCTTCTGTTTGAAAGTTTCAATCTTTCTGAAAGAAATAGTTGTTTAATGAACTATATTTTAGGGGGAATGTATGGGTTCAATAGGAAATTCCCAAGTCAACGATGCTCAATGAAAACGCGTTTCTGGCATTATTCTTTCGTCGTTCCTTCCTCAGTGTTCTAAGAAAAGACCAATGAATTACAGATACATTATATACATTATATAAAGGAGAAAGGGTTTATCACACGTAAAATATGGCGTACTCCATGAAAATACATTCACGACCCGTACACCCACCTACTTGTGTTCACAAAAATGGCTGTTGATTTCATTTTGGAGAAAGCATCGCGGTTGAACATTTCTGGAATTGAATGACAAGCAGAAAATTTGGATTCAAAGATACAAGAATTACCACGAGACACAGCCGATCAAGAAACTTTCTGATACAAACAGTAGAAACAACTTTTATAGCCGACAGAAAAATAAATATCATTGATACAATTTATATGTGAACATTTAAAAAAATCTTCTTCGTTTCCAGGCTATTTTATATCTTGAGGTACCTCACGGGTTTAAAAGGTGTTCTTAAGATAGTAGCCTGGGTACACGCCTATAAACGTCAATAATTAATACATGATTGCAATTACCTTGAGTCTCTGAGTTCAGTGCTGCACAAACAATGACGAAATCTGACTCTTTTAGTAAAGAGTTGTTATCCACTGAGAAAAAGTAAATAAACAAAAATCAGAGTGAAAATTTAGCAAAACTTTAAGGGAAAAAARCAAACAACCCAGCTCGAAGAAAAAGCAAAACAAAAAAATATAGCTCGAATAAACACGTGCTGACCAGGTACCGTGCAGTGACAACATTTTGTACGATAAAATATGATGGGAGTTTTAGTCCTCGTATGTTCTTGATRTCCGCTTAAACAGTCCTTATAAGCCATTTTCCCCTTTTTCTTTGCAAAAATAGAAGAAGTTGAGTCTTTTCGACAAAGAAAGCATAAAAAACGGCTTTTACGAAGATTTTAGACAATGTAATAAAGATTCCAAGGAGTACAACTACCATCATGCTTTGCTGTACAAATTGAAGTCGCTGCTCATTTTATTTACAATGCAGAATTATAGATTGTGCAAGCAGCCAACTACYTATACTTACCAAAGTCTGCAGGCACTTCCGCTTCAGCTGTAAGACAGATTAATAGCTTATCTTATCAAACATTTAAATATTTATATCTGTATTCATAAACAAACACTAGCTAGAGATATATACTCTATAGGTGGGCGTACGATGACGTAGTTTGTTTACATCCAAAATATAAAATTCAAAAAAAAGCAATCTGAACTCATATATTTCAAGATTATTTTACTGTCAACAAAACCTGAACATTTTAGGGCAAACGCCTTTTTATATTTCGAGATTATATCGGCATTTCAAAACTAGAAAATCTATAGAAAACATTTAGTGGTTTGCAAAATAATGCCAACCAAGGTCATTTCTTTAGAAAATCTAGCAAATTTGGCGCTTGATATTTCTTGAAATATTTAACCAATTGGCTTCAAATTTGCAGGAATTGTTAACAGGTATGAGTTCTTTTCATTTATGGGCTTGATTTCCTTGTGTCTTGACATTCGATTTGTGAATTTTATGAAAATTATTAGCTAAAACGTAAACATTGGCGCCCACCTATCTGATATAGATTGAATACTTTGGTTAGTGTCTGGTGATAAACATACAGGAATGCACTTTTTCGACATCGAGAAGTGTGTTTCACTGCTTTTTGTTCCTTTTAGTAAAATAAGCATCGACCAATAAACGCTCAAGCTTTTGCTAAATGATAGTTTACCTGATTTGTTTGGCTTTCGCCCACTATAAACAAACCTTGATACACCAAATGGCACAAGTCTCTTCGCTACAGCCAATCCTAAAATACAAAAATACGTCACTTCAAAACCGTGGTGTGTAATTTGAATTTAATGAAGTTACACCCGCACATGCGCTATAAACGAAACGCATTCAACGTCCCACACCAACGGGACGACTTCGTCTAGGTTACCGTTACGACGTCATCTAGGTTACCGTTTCCGTGCTTACTGCCTCAAAATAAAACATGAGGGATATCCAGGATCCTTTGAGTTATTTTTCAGTGGTCGATACATTTATTCTAATTATTGGATTGGTTGACTAAATTATTGGTATGGTCACCATTTTGAATTTCGATACGAGAACAAGGCTTTAACGTAGAATGTACTCAGGGGTATTGTTTCTGGAAGGGAGGAGCGAGCGACGGGAAAGAAACGGGGAGAATGGCAAAAGGCAACTGTCCAACGAAAATTGCATGACCGAAAAGGACAATGGTTTCTCTGATTTGCGCACAAAATTTCGTTTGATTTCACATTTGCGAAAATCGAAACTAAATGGAGCCTCTTTTTACCTCCACAGACTATCAATTGTTATTTCCCATATGTTAGTAAAAGCCATGGCTCTTTTCGCTCGTGCAATCTCCGTTCGACAATTGTTTCACCAATTTTTAATTAGGTATATGTGCCTGAATGAAGCTTYATAAATAAAAAAAGGATTGTTTACCTATTCTTCCTAGTCCCACAATCCCCACAGTACTCCCCCTTAATGTTGAACCACACATCCACAAAGGTTGCCACGTTCTCCATCCTCCACTACAATACAAGAGAGTATATTAAAGAGAGAGTAAGAGTATAAGTCAGACTTACGAAGCTTCTAAGCTTATACATGGCTCTGATATCGTTATAAAAAAATTCAAAGTCATGTGCAACTAGATAAAAATGTTGAGAAGCAGTAGCTGTTGTCAAGGCAAAGTGATTTCATTATATGTAAACTAAAAAAAGTTCCAATAATCCAGTTTCGAATTCTCCAATGCTCTGTGTTAGCCTCATTTGTGCGCAAAATATTCSTAATTGTGAGAATAAAAGTGTGAGATTTCAAATCAATTCTATTGTGTTTCTGTTCAAATTCCATTCATTTCCTCGGCCTATCAATRAAACAAAAGAATATGTTGCTTGGTTTTGAGGCTAACACAGAGCAAACCAGAACTTGAAATTGGAGTATTACATAAAATGTAAATTCTTGGGGTACCTTTTCACTTCTGCGGCAGATTCAATGAGTCTTCTGCTTGTTGCAAGCACTAAACCAACAGTTAATGTTGCCTAATAGAATGTAAAGAATCAACAGATGAAGAAAGAAATCCCTTGAATTTACACAAACTAGATTGTCTAATGTGTGGATTTCACTAGCRCATAAGCATAGGCATAAGCACGAAGCACAAGAGTCATATGTGCCAGTGAGAATGGCCTCAAAATAAGCATGAGCATAAGCACAAGAAAAAGGAGCAAGGCTTGATCTTCTTGTGCTTATCTCATGCTTATCTCATGCTTATGTTCAGTGAGAACGGGACTGCATAGGCATAAACATAGCCTGGTACCGAAATAATACGCTTGTGCGCATGCTCAATGTCTTATGTTTATGTCAACCCCGTTCTCACTGGCRCATATGATTCTCAYGCTCGTGCTTATGCTATGCTTAATTTTATGCGCTAGTGAAATCCACGCTTAACTGGATGATTGAGATGAGAACCACCAAATATACGTCAGTTTATATTAGATGAAATAAAACCAAAAAAAAACAATGCACTGATCAAAATATGAATCAAAAATAAACTGTAAGTTCCTAGCTTGTGATACTTACAGTTGCATCGGTGAGTACATGCGGTGTGTAGCCCAACAGAATTCCTCTACAGAACAGTTTAAAAATAAGAAAGATGAATTTCTAAGTAGTGTGTCTTGATGTATTTGAAAAGCAAACTTGAAAGCAAAAATTGAAAGCAAACTGGAATCTGAATTAAAGGACTCAATCTGACAACACCAAAACTATTGTATTCATCTACATCTACATCTATCTTTATTATCCTTAAAACCATAAGTATCACAAGGATATTAAATAAATAAATAAAAATAACAATAATAATAATAATAATAAATATAAATGTATTGTTCATCTGATGTAATAAATTTCATTATACTCAGACATAAATCTATTCATTTAATTTTGAGGGGATTAAGCCACCCACTTGATGATGTTATGGATTCATCACTGCATGTATTCTTTACAAGAATATTTTTGGTTTGCAGTTAATTACTAACCAAGTCATAAAACAAATAAAAAGAACCATGCATTTTCTCAAGCTCACATTAAAAAAAATCCATCGCAGCCCCCTCTTTTGTCWGGAAAAGAGGAGGGACAGGAAGCCTGACAAAAGGGAGGCCATGGAGAAGACTTTCATAAAGGTACACTGGTTTCCCACTCATATACAAAAGTGGATCAACATGATTGGATACCTTTGTTTGAGTTCACTAGTAGTAACATGATCATATCCAACAGACATWGTGCTCACAACTTTCAACTGATCTCCTGTAATGTAGTAAGCAATACATATTATGATTAAAATTTATATAATATTTTATATCAGTCAAAACAATAATAGGGCACTTTCCATTTGTCACAACTGGCTGGCCAGACCCAGAGAAAATGTCATATATATCATTTCTATTTAGTCGGGAAATTCAAATTTTCAAATTCTATCCATTATTCTATAGAAAACCTCGAAATGACTGAAAAATGTTGACAAAAAGCATAATATACCTCTAAATAGAGAGTACTGGCCGGCCAGTTCTGTCTAAATGGAAAGCACCCATACATGTACATTTAACAGTATGCATAAACTGCTTGGGCAKACAAATGACGGGCATAACAGTTATTTTGGACTAAACAGCTGCACTTTTTGTACTGCTTACTTAATAGTAAGAAGATACTAGTCAGTAGAACGATAGACTCCTGAAGCATTTAAGTCACTCAATTGATTTGGAATGCTTTTTCGGGATCAGTTTCAAGAGAAAACAACTACATAAATCCACCATTTTTTGCTATATGTAAATTCTATGCCATTTTTCAAATTGAAATTATATCATTATGAAGCTTAAAGTAAATTGGGCTTCCTGTGTTTCATTTWAAAAAAAAGAAAACTTATAGGTCAATGCCACTATTTTCTAGCAAAAAAAAAACAACAACATCCAAATAGAGACTGACAGTTCTAATTTGGAGAGGTTAGCAATTCAAAGAACTTAGAGCCACCTGCAAATTAGAACTCTAAAAMCCACACACATCCAAATTCAGCCTTAGAAATGAAAATTAAATGGTTAAAAGGTAAAGGTTCTTAGATGCACATAGGCTTTTAATTATGGGCTATAAATATATCAAAATTTATAGCTTCATCCTTATGAATCTAAAGATCAGACATCTTGTACCTGCTGCATTAAGAAGCTCAGCATCAACTTTTTCTGTTAAAAGAACATAAAGACCATGTTTTCCTTTTGCTCTCTCAAGAAGGTCTTTTCTTGGTATTGGTTCATTTGAGTCCCAAAGATCTACTTCACATCTGACAAAAAAAAAAGAAAAAAGGAGAAATGCAGGAAAGAAAAGTGTTTTTATTTTAAAATTATCACAGTTCCTGAAAGTATAGCTTAAATTTGAATCAAGTGCATTTAGTAGAAATTAAGCTTTGAAGTTTTAACAAAAACCTCTCTGTAACATGTAGGACATAACTCACATAGTATAGATTKGTATTGAAAGATATGAATAYGAGGACCWCATGGCACTATGATATAAACATGATTTAGAAATGAAGGAAAGGAATAGTACTGAGAAGAGTGTTATTCAGGGAGAATAACACTCTAACCTTGCTGKGATTCAGACCAAGGACCCTCGGATTAGTACTACTCATTATAAGGGGTACACTATTGCACTATATTCCTTTCCTGGCATTGAAAGCTCAACCACCATTTTGCTGGATAACCCATTACAATTACATGTCTGAAGAACAGTGCATTATAGTCTAAATAGAAATGGAAAAAAATGAATGGAAGAAAGCAAATAGCTTAAGGAAGTGGGAAATGAAAGTAGGAATGACTGAAAAACTTCAAAAAGGACACAGATCAATTAGCATTAAATTAAATCATTGAAAAGGAATTTTAAAATCATTTTGTATAGATTTATGGATAGATAAGTAGAATGAAATGATTTATGGATAGATAGATAGTTTTCTTTTCAATAATCATTATACATATTAATTGTCTTCCCAAGTAGAGGTAGACTTCCTGAGTTCGTTTGCTTAATTGGTTGTACCCCGTTGTACTGATTAACATACAAAATATTAAAAGTGCAAGATCAAAACGAAGTCAAATACTCACACATTAGATGAGGTAATGACATCCAAAGCAGGCTGTGGTATTCTACGAGYTATAAAAACTTTATTTAAATTACTGAAGGACCTAGAAAACGAAGTTAATACGGGTTTCAAGGCCCTTCTACACGAAAACATTTTTTTCGATTACTAAAAACAGAAAACAGCCAGGCGTTACATGTTACCTCTGGCCCATGAGAACTGTGGGTACCGGAAGAAGATATGTTTACAAATCCAAAATGGCTGTCGAAGAATCTCTTTATCAACGAACAAGATGGAAGATCTTTGTTTCCCTTTTTATTGGATATTCATTTTATTACTGCACAAGAAAGACTTTTACCTTTTCAATTCCTACGCTTGTGAAAACTCTTAATCTGAGCAAAGACAGTCAGTACAAACTGGGTTTGATTATCAGCTGTTATACCTTTACGTACGGATTCAGTAAATTCGTCGCGGGTTTTCTTGCGGATAGAACAAGTTCCCGCGCTGTTTTCACGACAGGGCTGCTTTTAAGTGGGATAGTTAATATTCTTATAGGTTTCTATCATAGTYTGTGGGTTCTTATGGCGCTATGGGGCATAAATGGACTTGTTCAAGGACTTGGATGGCCGCCCTGTGCTGCTCTCTTAAAGGCATGGTTCSAACGCACAGAGGTGAGCTATTTTTTGTTTTGAGTTGCTTATTAGTTTTCTAGTTTTCATTCTTACACATGAAATWTTTCTATAAATTCTAATATGCAAATGTGTAGCTATTTAAAAATTCATACTTCATTCACTYCTTGGCACCACCTTGGTAACCAAGGTAGCCGAAGCTGTTCTATTCAAYGGCTTTAGGGTGCCTGCAATGATAGATAACTGTGGAACAATTGTCTTTGATTTTAACAAAAAGATGTCTATACTGCAGTCACAGTAATCTCGCTTTGATCCAAAGGCCTGACTGTAAAATGGAGTGTTGTTATTAATTTTGTTCCCTTTTGCTCTTGTTATAGGCTAGCATAATTATATAAACATTACACTTGCAACATTGTCACTTCTAATTACACAATTGTATTATCCATACATTAAAAAACTTTATGAGTTATTAGGCCAACTGGATTATTATTATGTAAACTCCAATTCTGAGGAATGCCAAAATTGGAAATGATTTTTGGAAATTCAGTAAAATCTTATTTTGAACCCTATWCTGATAACGTTTGGCAGTGTAAAGTAAATTTTTTTATGGATTCACTGCATAAAATATTGTTCTTGAAGATCTCATTAAACTCTACCTGATCCAGCCTTTGGTGGCGGTCAGCACATTCAACCCAAAATATGCTCTGTGTTCCCTGCCATGAGATCAAATTATGGATTAAATGTAACATTTATTTTCATTAATTAAAATATCACATTTGTCAATTGCAGTATATTTACCTAATGTTGGTGGTAAATAAAAGTAATTTTAAAACACAACTTAATTCATAAATAATTAATATATGATCAATAGAATATTGCATGGTCACTTGGAGATATGAATAAAAAATATTCAACACTCCAAGATAATATACATATCTCTGCACGCCCATCTGATATCCTCTATGTGATAGTTTTCCAAACCTCTTTGTTCTTACCAACAGTTGGGGACCCTGTGGAGTGTCCTCACAGCATCTCAAAATCTCACAGCCAGTATATTACCACTGATGACGTCATATCTACTGCTGAACTATGGACTAAGCTATGCATTTATCCTTCCTGGAACAGCTGCTGTTGTCATTTCAGTACCAATCTATTTATCTGTTTATAACAATCCTGTTGAAATTGGATTAACATCTAAGTCGACAAAAGATCTTAAAACTAAGATCCCAATAAATGGACAAGCAAAATCAGCGACAGTTGTGTTTAGGTATCCTTTCTTTTGGACCATATCGTTGGGGTACTTTGCGGTGGCTTTTATAAAGTTTGCCATGGCAGACTGGGGGCAGTTGTATATGATTCAAGAAAAAGGGAGAACAGTTTATGAGGGTATGCAAATGTCTTTTGTTTTTGTAGGAAGAAAACAATAGATTTTTTAAAATCAATTTCCATATCGCCTACTGACGTCATAGCATGCGGTCTAAGTTTTGAAATTTGTTTTCAAAGAAAATGTATGAACATTACTATCTTTTTCAGCTGGTTTTGCGATGGGAATGTTTGAGGTTGGTGGTTTCATTGGCTCCGTTACTTCAGGATATATATCTGATGGCCTTGTTGCCAAGGTAACGTCCGACATTAGGGAGATGTGCGACTTCAAGGCTCCCTACGCTATCTTGACAATARCTTTTCCTTTACATCGAAACGAGACGAACTCTGAGCTTGCAATTATAGATAATTGCCTGTGATGTGAACGAAATTTTGTGTCATTGCAAAGTCACCGGTTCTCTCGCTTCGATGCAGAGAAAGAGTTGCTTTATAGTGCGAAAACGTGAAATAGCCCATTTGTCCAATAAAGCGACGTTGACCACAACAATCCTCACTATTTAGTGCTGKAAAGCACTATTTGGCTATATATAGTACTTGCTAACACTTCGAAAGTGAAGTGAAACAACCGTGAAATAGCTATTACACGAATATTCCGTAGTACGCTTTAACTGCATCGTTTTCCTTTGCGTTCTTTTGACTATCACATTTTTAGGGGAATTTTGTTTCACGGGTTTGGTGTAAAGTAAAAAAAAACGTGAAATAGTTATCACACCAATATGCCTTAGGGTACGCTCTAATCGCATTGCTTTCTATTTTGTCAATTTGACAGAATCACACTTAAATGCTCAAATTTTGTTTTATGGATTAGATAGAAGTCAAAAACCCTTGAAATATATATTACACTAAACACCTAAGTACGCTCTAGTTGCAGCATTATTTGATAAGTTAAAATCTTTCATGGTTCTAGTGTTTCCACTCTAAATGCGTACTGTTGAAAAATTGCAGAGTCCAAGTTCTACATCCAGCCCCAGAATGCCATTGGTGTTGGTATATTTACTTGGTTTGACTGTCAGCTTGTATTYATTGCATGTTATGGCCACCTCCAAGGTAAGCTTTTAAGGTATTTAAATACATTTATTAGTCTCCTCTTAGCCGTTCTTAGTGGCGGGCTCCCTGTCGCCCGCCCCACTAAGAACAGCTGCGAGGAGACTATACATTTATGTGATAGGTTTTAGAATTTCCAGGTGATACGATTGTATCCGTTGTCTCTGTTCGGACCTGCTCAGTAAAGTGAAGTCTTCTGTTGCAGTGGAACCCCGTATAACGGTCAACCGCATAATACGATCGCTACGTTATATCGGCGAATTTCAAAATAACTCTATACTTCCCTACTCGGTTAATACGTCCACCTCATAAATACGTCTAGTTTTCGTTGTCCCGACCGTGTCCGGAATAACGAGGTTTCATCGTACCAAGCTTTATTAAATCGTGTTTCTCTCGTAGATAACATTGTCTGTTCTTATGCTGGCTATAGGCTGTACCACGATGGGTCCTATCAATATATATGGTGTTTTAGCAGTAGAAAACAGCCCTCCTGGTTTAACATCAACCACGCATGGCTTCGTGGCATTGGCTGCTAGCAGTAAGAACCCTTTATTTATTCATTGAAAATTTGCACGGTACTAATAACTCCAGCAATAACTCCTTTAAAAGCAAGCAGGCAATCAGCTCAAAGCGAACATCTCAATATGTTAACATACCCTGGCAGGAAAAATTTGTCAGCTTAAATAAGACTCTTACCGGGGTAGGGTAAAAGCCGTCTATTCGATCATCCGCCAATGAAATTGCAGAGAAATTTTAGTACTCATTTATAACACACTTCTAAGACTAAAATCCAAACTATTTAAATCGAATACCATGGATAAATGTCTCAATTAAAGAAGACTGACAAAAGCATACTTATACACCCTACCCATAGTCAACTTGAAGTCTCTCGAGGCTTGTTGTTGATACAAGATTAGTCAAAGTACGCTTTTGAGTTTTGACCAGTTCAGCACAAATATAGCTCATGAAACTGAACAAAATTACCAATATTACGAATACAAAAATGTTTTCAGAAACTTTTCTCAGTTTAAAACTTTCAATTGTCTTAAACTGGCAAATTTTCTAGCGAAAAGGCTTTTGAAAAAGCAGGCAGCTTGTATGTTACCATATATGGCATATGTTGTACAAGCAACAATTCGTTGATATATATGTATTGTTTTTCTGTAAAGTTGATGCAACGTCCTCTGGGTATACCTAAGTGTCTTGACTAAATACTATGATCGTCACAAACTAAAATGCACAAGGTTCCCGTACGAATGGCAACAATTCGTTGATATATATGTATTATTTTGTTGTACAGTTTGCGCAACGTCCTCTACGTATACCCTAAGTGTCTTGACTAAGTACTATGGCCGTCACAAACTAAAATGCACAGGGTTCCCGTACGAATTGCAACAATAAATTCCTATATATCTGTATTATTTTGTTGTACAGTTTGCGCAACGTCCTCTGGGTATTCCCAGAGCGTCTTGACTAAATATTATGACCAGTCCAAAACTAAAATGCACAAAAATCCCGTACGAATTGCAACAATTCGTTGATATATATCTGTATTATTTTGTTGTACAGTTGGTGCAACGTCCTCTGGGTACCCCCTGAGCGTCTTGACTAGATATTACGACTGGTCTGGTATGATGATCGCTCTACAGTGTGTATCTATAGTAACCGTTGTCATAGTATTCTTGACTCAGAATCTCCGTTGCTCCATGGATGCCAAAGAAAAAGCCAATTAACATCATGACTTATCACTGAGAATATGAACGAGGTCAGCACCGACGACCGGGGCACTAGCAGTAATATATAGACAACGTCTTTGACAAGAGGAAACGTTAAAATGACAACAATAGGATCAATCAATAGTAACGACTGCGACCGACGAATACTATTGTCAATGACAGCAACACCCRCAGCTGAATAACGATGACATCAWTCGCAACAATGGAAATCTCGTCAAGACTAAGAAAAACAAGAAAGCAAAAGAATTAACAAGAATCAAGACAAGAACTGACCTCATTAAGAATAACGCAAAAAAGAATATGAACTAGAATGCTAAAAATGAATCGTTGAAATAAGATTATATATAAGAATATAAARTGCAGCTGACTAAAATGAAAAACAAAAGTTCACATTAGAAAAAAAAACAAAAGTAATAATAACAATAACAGTTTCTCCAACARAGTTACTTTATTTTATACTGATAAATTAAATATAGAACGAGAAAATGTTGAGTGTACAATAGTGATAAAAAGTTCACATTTTCCCCTAGTATTCGCCCAGAAGTCTTAAATTAAACCTTAGGCCATTTGGGAATACAAGGGTAGTCTCAACTCGGGGAGAATGCAAATTTACTATATATTTTAATTACACCTTTATGTTTTTATKTTATTTTATTTACATCATTTATATGTTGTTGTTGTTGTTGCTGCTGTTGTTGGTGTTGGTGTTGTTTCGGCACTCTTCCAGAATATCAGGAAACAATCTTTACTAATTGCGGGGTAGCAATATTCAGTGTTGTATACATACTGCCTTCCATGTTTTGTTCAAGTAGTGGAGGTGGTACGTTCGACGTGAAGAACGGACTGAAGGCCAGTAGGTAGAAGTTGAAGAACTTGCCGACGAATGTAACGCATCTTGATGCAATAGAAGATTGGATTGAAGAGGGAATTCGCCAGCATCAAATATTTTGCTGTTCCAGCCAAAATGGATGCTATTATTGACGTTTTTCCGCCTCCCGAAGAAAAAGGTGATATCATTACCCTCATGCTAAATGGCACAGTGCACAATACAAACACCAAATACACCCAAAGCATGGTTTTTGAAGTTTTCTTTCTATTTGCCATATTGGTATTGTCATTGTTCTCATTGGCCTGAACTTGCTGCTGTTGGCTCTGAATGCTTACGCGGTGACGCCGTAAAATTCGTAAAATTAACGAATTATTGACKGTACAGATCACGAGGCATAGCACAATAGCACTGGCAAAACACCATAGGAACGGTAGGTATCCGATCCAAATGGTCAACACCACAAAAACGAAGAATACCAACCATGTGAGCAACAAAGCCGACAGAACTCTTGGAACAGTTACCACTGTAGAATACATCAAATGAAACCTTAGAGCTATCAATCGGTCCACACTGATTAATGTAACTGTGATGAACGAGATGCCACTGAAAACCCCTGTGAGCCTTGAAGTAATTGTCTGCAAAATGCARTAAAGAGAAGAGGCATTTTGACGCTGAGCTATAATCAAAGCAATATTCAAAGGCACCACCAATGCCCCTGTTGCAAAATCACASAGAGCCAATCCACAAAGAAGGGTGTTGCTCGGTGTGTGTAGAGAGGTAGCCTTATAAACACCTAAAAGAACCAAAACGTTCAGGAAGACAGTCGGAGGAAAWGTTATTGAATATACTGTWAGTCCAGTAATGGATAGTCCATCATTATAGAAATTGAAAGCTCTAATGCAAAAAGCGACAGGGATCTGGGTATGGTTTTKGTGACCGACAGACCCCATGTWTTTTAAGCTCTAGAGTCAAGGTAGTAGTCGATAGCAAATGTTCAGCTCCAAAGTGAATCAAATGCGTCAGGGATTCAACTTTATAAAAACAAGCAGCTGGCATTTGAAAAGAAACTTCTTTTGTTTCTTATTTCCACTTTGAATCTTCCGTATGGCCGTCAAAATTACAATCATGTAGCCTTCCTCATCAATTAAAAAGGTTAAATATCTTTAGTTGCCGGATAAATAAGCTCAATAGGTCTTTTATTCGTTGATTGGCATTGTAGACAAAAAAAATCAATTAAACTCTCATCCATTGACTATAGCACAAAAACAATAAGAGTACTTGAAACGCCGCTCTTTATAGATCATTCGATTAAGGCCGGAAAAAGAAATCAATTAATAGTGTCACTCTYTTGACACGAATGTGATGATGCACGAATGTGTAAATTTTTGAAAATGGTGTCCTTTCAAAACAGGGATCGATTAGGCTATACTCGTCGGGTTGAGGTTAGGTCAAAAAGCATTGAACTAAGGTTTAAACCTTCTGGGAATACAGAGTAAACTTCAACTCGGGGAAAATGTAAATTGTTAGCGCCATTGTACTGACAACATTTTCTCGTGCTTTCTTTTGTGTGTTAAGGCCTTAAGGCCCGATACACTAAATTTCTGCTTTCGGAAAGAATATTAATAGGTCCAAATTTTGAGTATTTCTGAGCATCTGTCCTTAAATTAAAATTACTGTGACGTCATTATGGCATAGGGGGATTTAAAATAAATTTTGACTCACGTCGTTTGTTGACGTTTTCGCTTCCTTGTGGTAAGCCCCTTACTATACGTATGTATTTTGTGCGTCAATCAATAGTACAATAACCGTATTCATTGAATCAATAAGGTACAAGCATACTCGAAGGCCCACTTCGATTCCTTACCCCCAAAACAAACAAAAATATGTTTTTGTTTTCTTTTTTGTTTCATATATTGTCTTTCCTTTTTTGTGTGTGTAATGATATCTATATTTTTGTCTAAGGTTGCTTTCATGAATTTGGACTCTAAAGCTTAGTTCAATTGATATATAAAAGATACTGAAGCGTACTTCAAGTAAGGAGATCTTGGACAATGTGTATGCAAGTACAGTTATATGAGAGAGCGTACAAAGTAGCGCCGAGACTCTTCAAATAGATTATATTTTCTGTCCAAAACGTAAAAAAAAATATATATATATATAGTTAACAAATACTTTAAGTTACGAGCTTTTAAACCCTCATGTTTTTACAAAGTCAACCATTTGGAGAATTTCATGATGAAAAAGCCGCGAAAATACACTCTCTGGTTAAAATCCATAATTGTTGAAACAAGTGTATACAAGTTCTTCTTCTTCAAGGTTACCACATGGAAGGAAACGTTGCTATCAAGGTATTGCTGTACAAGAGTCACAAATGATAAGTGTGTATAAAGTTCCTTTCTCATCCYCCATCTAACGAATTTATCTTTTGCAAGCGCCAAAGCCTGCTCTTCTGATTCTGATATTTTCCTTGCATGCTTTACGTCTAAGTTCACAGTCATTTCTGTAAGTATTTCTATCAGTTCCACACACGAGTCGTGCTTGTGATGGACAACGTCGCACACASAAGCGACTAACACACTTGGGTCTGTTGGAAATTAGTTTACACTGCTGCCCTCTTCTGCATACAACTTTGCGGCAAGTGTTTAAGGGCGCTGTTGAAAAAATTAGAAGGGATTAYTACCAACAATGAATTAATATTTCCAGCGAACTGAACCTTACGTAAACATTTTGCTAATTAAAACTCGTGACATTTCAAACAATTAGCATTGCCTTCTATACTTAGTGAATAAAATAATACATAACATGGTTTCGAGGCAAACACAGTGCAAAAAAGATGACTAATGCAAAGTGCATTGCCAAGTATTACAGCAGCATCACTCACCGCATCGTCTCCCGTCAACTTTTTTAATCAATCGCATTTTTGAACAGGCAAATTTTCGCAGAGTGCATTCATTACCATATACTCTGCCATCTGAMCCACACACTGGATTGTATGCTGCTTGACAATATCGCGGGCACATGCAAATCAGGCGACCACGATATATAGAGCATCTGGAGTAAGGACGTGAGGAGCATGTTGAACCAGGGCGACTGCATCTCTGTCCTAGATCAATAAATTATTAAAATACTCAGTTTTGTTTCTTCTACGTTGGTTTTAATTTTCCGAGCTTTCGGACAACTTGTCAATCATCAGGGTAAAATGAAATTACAATGCGTATGTGAGGATAAAAAATTAAAAAATTAAAACCAACGTATAAGAAACAAATCTGAGTATTTCAATAATGAATCCTACGTACGAAAACATTTTAACACAATTAAATTATTTACCAGGGTATTTGAATATCATAAAAAGTACTTGTATAATTATTTCAAAAGTCAAAATACCTCTAAGTATTTCAAGGACTAGGAATCTTTGCGCGATTATTTTTTACATACGACAATTCGCCATCTTCGATTTTGAGCCAATGAGAAAGAAACCTTTCGACAAAGGATCATTTATGAACCAAATTAAMGACCGCAGAGGCTCTTGAATGTACGTGGGCATTAAACCCGCCATGCGTAATAAATCTCGTAAAAATATCCACAAGACTTTTCACTCAAAACCCGATTGGTACTTCATGTATGCCCCTACCGGATATAAACCCTAACCCTCTTCCTAATACAGTAATATATTTGTATAAGTGAAAATTAAGTTTTTACCCAAAAGATCGTTTCGTTAAATCAGGGTCTGAATGGGGTTAACCGACTAGCGACAAATGGACAAAATAACTACTGACTAGCGACAAATTTGAACCAAATTTGCTGACTACCGACATTAACAAATTTACTGACTGGCGACATTTTCCAATATTCAAAGACGTTAGCTCTGTGAATACAAGCTTTTTTTAATTTTTCAAGCAACTACATTCGAAATTTCCCGTGGAAAAAATAAATTTTGCTTCGGATTGGCTTATTGAAGTTGTGATGAGCCACTCTAAAACTTTAAGGCCCCCATTAAGACCCTGTTAAATGGAAGAAAAAAGTAATTTGGGATAAGAAATGCGTCCTGGCACGGAAAAAAGTATTTTCTCTAGGATTAGATGAAGCACCACAATTCCTGCCTTAAAAGGTCCTTCATCCTAATGACGTTGGCAAGATGCACCATGGGAAGTACGGACTGCGTCATGTTGTTTTTTTGTTCTTATTGTGCTAAAACAGCAATAATTATAAGTAGATAAGTCTTTTCGTATGTCCTCTAATTCTCTTCTAAATAATTATCGACTTCAGATAATATACATTGCTAAATTTCGTCCTTCGTAGTTGTTTAAGGCATCCGCCATCTTGTTACTTATCAATACCATGATGCACTTCGCCGAAAAGMACACGTGAAGCCATTGGACTGCTTGATCACAGAGTCAGTCCATTATAAGACTACACCATTCTCGTCGCCAGACCTACCTGAACACTTTCTAGTGTCAGCAACTGTCCTGATTGACGTCTTCAAAGCACACGATACAGCTCGCATGATGCATTGGTTGTTATACATTTTCCCGTCTGATCCRCATACAGGAGACTTGATGTTCCTGCAAAATCGTCTTTTTGGGCAGATACACGTCGGCTTATTTCTCTGAACACGACATTTGGCGTAGAAATTGCATTTGACTTTTGAACATTTGTCTAGAAAATAACATGGTAATGAATTGTCAAWAACATGCTAAAACCAAATTGGTCGATAACAAAATGAGAAAGGGTCCAAAGCTCAAAATCTGATTAAATCATGATCTCAGGAAAAACAACAATAACCATTGTGAAAGAAAAGCATACAAAGGGCTTACTGGCCAAAGTTACTGACATAATAATTGACCGTACAGCTAAACAGCAAAATTTGCATTCTCGGGTATGTCGACAATTGTTTTAAAAACGATATACATATATTTTTTTGTTCGTTTCTATTTGCTTTATCTTTTGGCAGGGTTTTTCTGTAAATTGAGATCAGATCAATTTGGTACCCTGACCATCTCTCTATTGGCAAAACGTGTATATTTCATGACAAACGCGATAACTACTTGCTTTTATTTAGAGAAGCACACTAGTCAATACCTGGGCAATGACCTTTCGCCTTGATAGTCACTAACTTCCCTCTTTTACACGAGGTTAGCTTCAATAGGCAAAGATTCAAGTAAGTCGCACCATCTGATCCACAGACTGGTCTAAGAGTCGTTTTACATGCCCCAGGACAAGTGCAGCTTGGTTTGTTTTTCACCATCTTACAAAAGGAGTAAGGCACGCTTGAGCAGTTCTTTGTTGCGCAAGGCGATTCCAGTGGTTGTGCATATGCTGAAAGATAAAAAGTCTAAATAATAGCAATTTCAGCGCCATACGGGGAAAATTGCAGCTCAATTTCTAGAATGCAGGGATATCGAACAACTCAGAATCTAACCAAACTGAAAGCTGAAAKCTTGTGTTCTCTATGGGCGTCAATGAATGGAAAGCAACTTGATTCCGATTTGAAATATCAATAGGTCCAAAGTTCCRCCGTTTCTGAGCATCTATCCRCACAGTAAACATTCTTGGACGCCATTATGTGAAAGGTAATTACCTTTGATGTCTTCACAAGCTCCTTCGTGATTAACACTAATCCATGATCTGGTCTCGCATGAGGTCTTTCTCATCATGCAKTCGTTGGAATAAGTCACATTGTCAGTTCCACAGACAGGTTGGTAAAGGCCACCACAAAAAGGTTGGCAYAAGCATCTGGGTTTGTTKCCTATCACCTTGCATGATGAATAAGGTAACTCGATGGCACAGTCTTTTCTTAAGCATAAATCTGAAATAGTAAAGTTTMGTAAATCGTTATCTCAGTTTAGATAAGATGTACAATATATACTTAGAAAAAGAGTCGATCCCACTAACGCTGTCCAGTGATAATGAAAAATGATTTTTGAACGAGAGAAACAAAAAAACATACGCTGATATAGTGTTTCTGCTTTTTGCCAGGGACATTACATATCTCTAGCTGGTCTTTTTTACGGTTCCCTGCGTCGTCTTAAAAAAGTGATCGAGACTTAGTTTTGCATTAAAGCAAGATGTCGTTGAGCTAGCAAAGATAGAATCCTGTGAATAATTGTTTATAAGCCTTGAAAAGGTTTCTATCATTTCTGAGTCACCGGTCCTCTCGCTCATAGGCACGATTACCTTTCAAGACAACTCGGGGAACCGTGATGGAGTCTATTTATAAAGTTGCATTCCTATGCAGATAATTTTAATTTTTCTATTTGTTTGGAAACGTTAAACTGATATTCATTCCCCAAAATTCAGAAACACTTTTATGCAAATGACTTTACTGGAAATTGTTTTTATGTCTTTAAACCGGAACGTCGTAATGACTGTTTACAACTGCAACTCAAGGATAAAATACTCGAATTTATTATGTGTTTAAGTAGCGAACTGGATATCTTTTGTTTTTATATTTTGGAAGAATTAATTAATGTTGCCTCTTTTCTCATTGCCATGCCAAAATTCAACAAAATTATTTATTGAATTATGAGATTCAACCAATATAAATCCCATTTTTTTTCTTCAAAAATGAGAAGCATCTACGTATAATTAACACTGATTACTTGGAATGTTACTTGATATTTATTTTCAATACGATTATATCCAACATACTTTCGCAGAATCCTTTCTTTGAAGCAGTTATCATAACATTTTTTACACATGCCGTCTTTTTCATCTCACAGATGTTGAAGTACGAATCACCGTCCGACCCACAGATGGGGTAAAACCTTCTTGAGCAAATTGTTGGGCAGGTACATGCTGGAGGATTTTGATTGTCCCCAATCAGGCAACGACCGTATGGACGATTGTAACATTTTTTGCATTGATCGTCTGCAAAAACAGTCATTGAATTAGTCTACAACTGGAATTGTGGGTACCCTTTATGCAATAATACATCCCAAAAATCAAGATAAAAGGACATCGAAATAAAAATAATAAAATAATAAAATCATTGAAGCCTTCAAAAACGCAAAACGTAAAAATTAAATGCTCTGATCTCCTGCAATATCTTCAACCAAATTCAGTAATATTAATTTAAGCCTCTATCTATCCAATGGCTACCACAAGGTTTCACATACCTTTACATTTACCAAAACCTTTTATGGTAATTAGGGTTTTCTCCTCGCACGATGTCTTCTCCAAGAGGCACACATTKTGATAAGTCTTRCCATCTGAGCCACACACTTGTTTGAGTATCTTGTTACAAGATATTGGACATACACATGTTGGTTGGTTGTCTACCATTTTGCAAGAGGAGTATGGTAGACTAGAACAGTCTTTATCTTTGCAGGTCTTTTTCTCTGAAATGTTCATTATTAACATTCATAGATCAACATTGTGGCGACATTGGGTAAAACTTGCAATATAAAATGCGGGAATGACTTATATTTAATGACATAAGTTTCGAAAATTTTCGGGCGTTTGCATGAATGGCAAATTAAGAGCTATTCACATGATAAACCCCTATMAGGTGTATAAAATCTATGCAAARTCTGTCCAATGGATAACTTTACCCACCCTTCGCTCCACCTTCCCTGAATTGTAACTTCCGTATTTCTCGTAGCGTACGTTCAATAATTCTTTATCATCGTAAGGAAACATTTCTTATATTTAACGTAAAGTCTTCCTCTGAAAAGAGGAAGCTACTTCTACAATGTAATCTCGAATCTTGTACAAAAGAACTACCCTAGATTGCTAAATAATTGATGTTGGGCGATTTTATCGAAATGATATTAAAGGCATCAAACRCCCTTAGCATTTTAACTCCAAAACGTACAGCTTTATCTTATAACTAAAGAGTTGCTCTCTTGGGGGATTCTGAATCCACTRGTTCTTCCCTTAGACTCTCAATACCTTTATACGATTTTTAGCAGATATGTTACCTAGCATTGTAACTTTACATTTTCCATTTGCTTTGAGGGTGATCAACGCTTTGCTTTCGCATGATGTTTGTTCCATGATGCACACGTTTGGATAGGTCTTATCATCTGAGCCACACACTGGCTTCAAGATCTTTATACACGAAGTCGGACATATACAAGATGGCTTGTGATCTATCACTTTACATATCGAGTATGGCCGACTGGAGCACTTCTTTTTTGCACATGTCTCTGGTTCTGTAACACAATATGAATTATCAAAAAAAAAAGATTGTGACAAGCACTGGGAGAACTTAAGTTTTGGAAGTTAGACAWACCTTTGCACTTTCCAATGTTGTGAACTGTAATCATGGTTGAATTCTCACAAGAGACTTTCTTCATCGTACACTTGTTAGGATAGGTCTTACCATCGGAACCACAAACTGGTTGGAGAATCTTGGTACAATATGACGGACACACACAAGTTGGTTGATCTTCCACCATAACACAGCTTGAGTATGGAACAGCTGAACAATTCATTTCGGCACATGATCGCTGTTGTTTAGTAATTATAGACGGAGCTTCTACAAAGATATCGAATTGTGCAAAGAAAAGTTAGGTTCATTTCTTATTGACAACTTAAATTGTTGATGAAGGAAAATTTGTTAATGGATACCTTCGCAATTTCCGATCTTGTTGASAGTAACATGTATTTTATTTTGGCATGATGTTTTCTCCATGATACACACGTTAGGATACGTCTTACCATCTGATCCACAGACAGCCTTGTGGGTCGTAGGACAAGATGTCCTACAGACGCAAATTGCTTGCCTATTAACTACCTCACAATTCGAGTATGGCACCTTGGAGCAGTTYACTGTGGCACATCGGTCTTSTTCTGCTTTAAGTGGATGATATTATGRCMGATATTAAAAAGRCTATAGAAATTGAACTCGTCTACTTTACTTTGCATCAGAGTTTTACTACTTAAGAAATACCATCACAAATTTGCACTGTACCTTTGCATGGGCCATTTTTCTKGRAMATAATCAGTTTTCTATTCTCACATGAAAGTTTCCTCATGGTGCATTCGTTAGGATAAGTCATGCCATCTGAGCCACAAACAGGCTTTAGGGTCTYTGTACAAGATGTTGGACAAACGCATGTTGGTCGGTTGTTGATCACCTCRCAGCTCATGTAGGGAAGGCCTGTACAATCCACGTGGTCACATGTTCCTGGTTCTTTAGTAGTATACTGAGGGACTCTTTCTGGAAAGAAGAGGAACATTTCCTGGAAAAACTTTATACCTGATARAGTTTCTACCCATGGTTACTGCTTCGCCTTGGCATTGTTAGACAAAATTGGGTGAGCTTTTCCTATAAAAAACTCAATATATGTCAACTATTATCCGTGGTACACCTAGCTCACCTTGACATTTCCCATTTGACTTAATGATAATCATTGTTTTATCTTCGCAGGACACTTTCTCTAAGTAGCAGGCGTTCATGTAGGTCTTGCCATCTGAGCCACAAACTGGCTTGAGTGTCTTGTTGCATGAAGTCGGACATACACAAGTTGGCTGATTGTTAATGATTTTACATGTCGAGTAAGGTAGACCAGTACAGTTCTTTTTAGCGCAAGTGTTGAGTGGCTTTGTAGCTTTTGAAATAATGTCTGGAAAAAAAGAATGAAGAATTATACCAAGATGCCAACGAAATTACCTACAAAAACCTTTAACTTTGCAATTTCCCTTTTCATTTTCCCTTAGCGAAAAAGCATAACGATAATGATAATAGCATTAAATATAATGAATCGATTACCTTTACATTTTYCATWTGCTTTGATAACAATCGTTATATTGTTCTCACACGATATTTTCTCCAGGACACATTTGTTAGGGTACGTCTTACCATCAGAACCACATACTGGTTTTAGCATCTTGGTACAAGATGTGGGACAA